AAATTTCATTATAGTTGTATCATAATGTATTGGTTGTTTTATGCAGTATGCAGTGCATGATATGTGCATTTTCTGTATTCATAGAGAACCTACTACATTTGGAAAAATATGTTTATTATTTTACATAATTTAATTTCACATAATTTAAACGAATGCCATCCTATTATGCAGTAGGATAGTAATCCTTTCCAAACAAAGCTGTTTTACTCAGCTTGTTGTGAATGAGAACTGCAGAATTGGATTCTTATGAAAAGAGTATATACTTTTCGCTCTTAGAACTTCATTTTTGGTGTCAATATTGATTTTTCCACATTATTCACAGATATGATGTTATCCTGCAAATGCAGCTGTTAGCAGATATATTCATGGTGTTTGTGAAAAATTGACCTTTTCTAACGTATCAGGTGAAGATGTTGAACATTTATTTTTCTACTGCCCTTTTTCTATTTCAGTTTGGGTTGTCTTTAAAATAGACATAACAAAAACATTAAACAACGCCCTATTAGAACCTCATGATATTTTACAGTTTTCAAAACACATATTATTCTGAAAAAAAACCCCCTAAATTACAATATTAATCTGTTAATTAGTTTAGCAGTGTTTTATATTCATAAGTCAAAAATAATTCAAAAGAAACCATCATATATTAACACTGATCTTAAAATATATTTTGAAAAACGCTTTCTGATATGTGATCGCAAAATAAGAAGCTTATAAAAACAATAAAACTTCTCAAGCTTTTCAAATGTATGTAACTGCCCTAATATTATATAGCACTTTTTTCCCTAGTTGTTTTTTAATGTTTGTTCTTTTTGTTTTTTGTTGTTGTTATTCTGTTTTACATGCTTTAAGCTGTACAACAATGTCTTATATTTGCCTTGCATGTAATGGAATTAAAAAAATTATAAAATAAAAAATGTATTTCCCACAACTATGATAGCGTCACGCGATGCGTTCTGACGTCAGCAGAGTCTCCGCCCACTCGCGGAGCGCGCACATTCCTTTTGTCCAAGATGGCGGAGTAGATGCAGCTGAGGGGACGCTAATGTTTGTCGTTTTATTTTTATCCGTGCAATTCAACATTCAGGCGAACGTTTTCCCGTGCAAACGTTAGTTAAGACTCTCCTCACGGATGTGCACAATCTCTTGGAGCCGTGAGATTTCACCTCGGAGCTGATTATATATTTTTGCAGCGCGAGCATCACTGTAAAATGAAGCGGCAGGCCGAGCGCGACGCAAGTCCGTCCAGAACGCTCGCCAAACGCGTCCGCGAGCGGGACCGAGAGCGCGAACCGAACCCGCCGCTCGCGCTGCTGCTCGCCGAGAGCCGAAACTATCACAAACGAAGCCGCAGCCGAGAGCGGGAAAAACCGCGCGTCCGTGAGGAGAGAGAGAGTCTGCACCGCCCGCATCATGAACTGGGTCTGCTGGGTCGAGCCCCTCTCCGAACCACCTCAGTCCTGCCTAAAGGTAAGACCCCATCCGCGGACACGGTGGGTGCGCGACTAGAATACAAGACACTACTTATCAGCAACCTTGGATCGCAGCTTTCTGATGAGCATGTAGAGGACGGACTGTTCCATGAGTTTAAAAAGTTCGGGGACGTGAGCGTCAAGCTGTCTCACACGCCAGAACTGGGGCGCGTTGCCTACGTCAACTTCAGACACACGGAAAACGCGCGAGAAGCGCGTCATTCCAAAACCAGATTGGTGCTATATGATCGTCCACTCAAAGTTGAGCCCATGTACATGCGGCGTCGCAGTGTCACGCCTCCAGATGTGAGTTATGTGTCTCTGCACAGTGCTGCCTACACTTACAGGCAGCGGTCACTTTCACCGGGTGCTGGGAGTAGTGCCCTTCGAGATATGAGACCCAGGCATTACATTGATGGTATGGGACTCAGCAGGGATCGTGTTTTGGACTATTACAGCGCTTTGGAGGAGAGAAGCCGTGCGTGTGCGTATCAGCTTCCTGAGGAGACCTTAAAACCAGAGGATGATCAGAGAGCCACAAGGAATTTGTTCATCGGCAACTTGGATCATAATATTTCTGAGGTGGAACTACGACAAGGATTTGACAAGTATGGGATTATTGAGGAAGTCGTTATCAAGCGGCCCGCCCGTGGACAAGGGGGTGCGTATGCTTTTCTTAAATTTCAAAACTTGGATATGGCTCACCGGGCCAAAGTGGCCATGCAGGGACGTATGATTAACGGCAACCCGATTAAGATCGGATACGGGAAGGCCAATCCGACGACTCGGCTCTGGGTGGGTGGACTTGGCCCGAATACCTCGCTGGCAGCTTTAGCCCGCGAGTTTGATCGCTTTGGGAGTATTCGCACTATAGACTACGTGAAAGGAGATAATTTTGCTTACATTCATTACGAGAGTCTGGATGCAGCACAGGCTGCTTGTGCGCAAATGCGCGGCTTCCCTCTGGGCGGTCCGAATCGTCGGCTGCGTGTGGATTTTGCTAAAGCTGAGGAGACGAGGGCGTACCCTCAACAATACCAGCCGCCTTTGCTCCCGCCTCCACATTACGAACTTCTAGCTGATGGTTACGGACGCCACCACAGCCTAGAGAGAGAACTGAGAGCGAGGGCTCGGTCACCGTCACACCCCCTGTCCGCGGAGCGAGAAAGAGAGCGCCTTTCGGACCGGGACTGGAGTCCGCCGAAAGGAGTTGAGCGGCGAGCAAACCCTCCGGAGGCGTTCGGGCGGGTCAGGCAGCGCAGTCGTAGCCGCAGCAGGGAGCGCTGGGTAAAGGAGCGAGAGCTAGAACGTGGGAAAAACTGGGAGGAGCGGCGCAAGCGAAGGAGCCTCAGTCCCATCGACCGTCCGGCAGAGGAACGCGGGAGGTCAAAGCTCAGAGGCGGGGTGCCGTCTACTCCCGAAGACAGCCCGGACCGGGGATGCGGCCGTCTCCCGGACTCCACCTCAGAACCTCTTGATCACACCCCCGACAAAAGCAGACACTCCAGCGACGAACGTCCTGCGCAGGACGAACCTTTACATCCAAGAAAGGACGAGCGTGATCGCAATCACCGCAAAAATGCGAGTGACCCTGACTCGCAGACAGACAAGTCCAAAACAAACTCCAAAAAGCCCAGCACGCTCTCCGAATACGCCCAGACTTTGAGTCGCGTGTGGCACGGTTCTCTCGTTCTTAAAAACAGCTGCTTCCCCACAAACATGCACATGCTCGAGGGAGGCGTGAACTTTCTCCATGCCCTCATGAGAGACAACCAAGCAGGTGGTTCCAAGATCACACAGCTTAAAATCGCTCAGCGGCTGAGGTTGGATCAGCCCAAACTAGACGAGGTGATGCGGCGCATTAAGATAGGCAGCCCGGACGGCTACGCTGTCCTCCTCGCCGTCCAGGGACCCATGGACCGAGATGCCCCTCTTCCAGAACCGGGCCTTCAACAGCGCCTTCTCCGCAACCTGGTGACGTACCTCAGGAACAAGCAGGCAGCAGGGGTCATCGGCTTGCCCCTCGGCGGCCCCAAAGAACGAGAGATGGGTGGCATGTTGTACGCCTTCCCTCCATGTGACTTCTCGCAGCAGTATCTCCAGGCTGCTCTGAAAACTCTTGGGAAACTTGAGGAGGAGCACCTGGTTATCGTGGTTGTTAGAGACTCACCTTAACACTTCAGTTCCAACTCTAGAACGTTCCAAACAGATTTGATGCCTTTTATGATTTTAGGATAGATGTACCTTTTTACTTTAATACTCTCACACAGTCCACTTGATCAGCGTTTCCTTGAAACGTTTTGGGAATTATATAGCATCCCCAGAAAAGTAGTTTTATAAACTTGCCAACGAGTTTTCTGTCAAGGGGTTTTAAATTTATTTCAGAAGTGTTAAAAACTTTCAATTTTATTCTATTTAAAATGTTTTATATTATTGCATGCACAAGCAATTTGACTGATGTCTCCTTCCAGTGGTTCACTATAATGGACGTAAAATGTACTGGGCCTCATTTTTGAAACTCAAATTTGTGTGAATTTTTTCACAAATCCATTCATCATTGAACTGTCGCATTCAATTCACTCTAAAAATGATTTTACACTCGGTTCATCATTAAGGTCTCTTTGTCCCGGAATTCATGTATGATAATTTATTAGTGGCTTTTTACTCCGTAACAGATTCAGTACCCGTTCTTCCCTCCATTATTACATCCGCTGTCCGTTTCACAAACCCTTGATGTTTTATTTTGTTTTTCAGAAATAAAACAGTACTTGACATGGCAGTATGTTCAGTTCAGGTGAGGCGTTTGTGTCGTGACTGACGGCATCTACCTCTTTAACCATGTAACATCAGGTAAGCTAGAAAAAATGAAGTTAGTCTTGAGGCCACTGCATTTTTATTGTATATTGTTATAAATATGCATCTGCAGCACTAACAGAAAGGTCGTGTGACCATACCTAACTTACTGAACGAGTACTGTACCGATCCAGACGCACTAATGTTTGTAAACGTTACGAACACTATGGTTGAAGCTTGTGTGACTGTTTGTTTGTACGCAGGAATGTCATTTTAAGCCTTAGCTGGTTTTCGACTGCCCTCCACTGGAATGACTATTTGCTAAATCAGTGTAACCCATTGAGCCAACACGTTTGAAACAAGTGCTATTCTAAAGGTTTTCAAAAATATCCAGTGATTTGAAACACATAATAACGTATGAACCTGAAACAAGTGTTATTTTTTTGATTTTACTTGATGGGGTTTAAAAGTCCACTCACCAACACTACAACCCTTTGCACTGAACAGTAATTTGTCATTGCTTATTTTTAATCATGTTGTTGTTTTACCCTCTGTTATCACTCCTTTTTTGTAATACTTTTTTTCTAGAAGTCTTTTTTTTTCTGTCTGTATGCGAAACATGTATGCATATAAAAAAAGTAAACATTACACGTGCTTGTTTACCTGATATACATCCATCATTATTTCCCAAACTGCATTCAGCGTTCAAATCAATGTCATGATTGTTTTTCAGAAATAAAACAGTACTTGACATGGCAGTATGTTCAGTTCAGGTGAGGCGTTTGTGTCGTGACTGACGGCATCTACCTCTTTAACCATGTAACATCAGGTAAGCTAGAAAAAATGAAGTTAGTCTTGAGGCCACTGCATTTTTATTGTATATTGTTATAAATATGCATCTGCAGCACTAACAGAAAGGTCGTGTGACCATACCTAACTTACTGAACGAGTACTGTACCGATCCAGACGCACTAATGTTTGTAAACGTTACGAACACTATGGTTTAAGCTTGTGTGACTGTTTGTTTGTACGCAGGAATGTCATTTTAAGCCTTAGCTGGTTTTCGACTGCCCTCCACTGGAATGACTATTTGCTAAATCAGTGTAACCCATTGAGCCAACACGTTTGAAACAAGTGCTATTCTAAAGGTTTTCAAAAATATCCAGTGATTTGAAACACATAATAACGTATGAACCTGAAACAAGTGTTATTTTTTTTTATTTTACTTGATGGGGTTTAAAAGTCCACTCGCCAACACTACAACCCTTTGCACTGAACAGTAATTTGTCATTGCTTATTTTTAATCATGTTGTTGTTTTACCCTCTGTTATCACTCCTTTTTTGTAATACTTTTTTTCTAGAAGTCTTTTTTTTTCTGTCTGTATGCGAAACATGTATGCATATAAAAAAAGTAAACATTACACGTGCTTGTTTACCTGATATACATCCATCATTATTTCCCAAACTGCATTCAGCGTTCAAATCAATGTCATGATTTCGTATCGCTGAGCATAAATCCTGTCTCCATAGTTACCTTTCCATCTCAGTCCTCCCTACAAAACAAGTTGAAGGTTAAAGTGGTAACCAGGCAACCACATCCATCTTTAAAAAAAAAAAAAGATTCCAAATTTCAAATGAGGCTTGACTGTGAAGAAGCTTAGAATAACCACTAGGTGGCAGTGTGGTCAAAGAAAAACAACCTTATCTTAACATGAAACGTGCGAGTTCCTGCTGTGGGAAGTTGCTTGAGGGAAAACAGTCAGTGCAGTGCATATTAAACGCTTGCTGAGACATTGTTGCTGCATTTAACCGAGGTGAATGCAGTCTTCATTTAGTTTCACCCTATGCCAGTATGTAAACTAGGTTGTTTGTGGCATTTATGCTGTTTAATATAGATCTACATGATGCTGGAAAATTAACCAGCATTATTGTTTTCAGAAACTTGTTAATTATTTATAATGCATTGTTCTTCAGACTAACACTTAATTAGCACATTTCTCAATGTCTGAATGAGAGAATCGAAACTGATCAAGCCACAGCAGTCCTGTCTGTCGAAGCCTGACAGATCTCCCAACGCTTTCCTGCTGACCAACTATCTGTGCAGAAAGGCTTTAGAGTTACTTAATTGACTGGACCGCCTGCTTTCAAGGTGATGGGCAATTCCTAGAAATTGGCCATTTATACAGGTTTTTGTGTTTGTACTTGTCAACAACTGGCGTAATCTGAGCAGTCCGCTGATATCTGCTGTTGGAGAACTGTGATAAGTGAACTTTGAGTTAATATGTGGTGACCGGAGTCTATTTATATTTGACTCTTAGCTATGTTACGATTTTGGCTTGAAGTATAATTATGACTTAATGATAATCAGTCAAATGTCTTATTGAGGCAAATAGGGTGTCTTGTAAATCTAACAAATGTATAATAAATTCACAATACATCTGAAGTTATCATATTTAATGGTAAGCAGGACAATAAGGTGATCTACATTTAAATATTACACAGATTTCACTACCAATTCACATACCCGCATTAACTTGCATATGTGATAATTTCAGCATATAAGTGTATGTATGTATATGTGTATATATATATATATATATTAGTATTTTAATGGTTATGTCCAAAATATAAAAAAATGTTCTTAGTTTTCATTGACATATTACTGGTTAAAGGTGAATTATAGATGTTAATGTAAATAGTTTTAATGTTTTTATGGATAATTCTGAAATTCTCATTCCTGTTATCCAAATTAAACATGCATAAGATGTCTTTTAACCTTTTTTTAAAGCTCTTAATTTTTTAAGGCGTTTTAGTTGAACTCAATTTTCAGCACTTTGCTATTTTATTTTATTTTACTTTACTGACATTGGATCCTTTGAAGCAGCACTTGAAAGGATATTTAAGAAAAGCGTCTTTGCATGGTGTGCTGAGCCAGCAGCACATCTGACCTGTATGTGTCTGATCGCTTTAGTTTGCGCTATCGCACTCAAATACATTACCGTCCGCAATTGACCTCAACCCAATAATATAATATTAAATGCAACTGCGTTGTTGATTTTCCTATCTAAAAAGGACACATATAGTTTTCAGGAGCAGCAGGGATCGTTTGACAGAAAAAAAACAATTCATACCAACAAAGTAACCTTGCTCAGTACAGATTTTCAAATATTCACATGAAGAACCACACAAGGTTATTTATTCACAAGCACGGCCTTGTGAGTCCCATTGCTGATCAGGGTTGTTTTCGTACGCTGTTGGCTAATGTCTTCAACCAATTCTTTTTTTTGCCCTTTTTGTTGTTTTGAATCACGAGTTTGGTCTCTTGGGTGTAGACGAGATCCTCAGGGTGTTTCAGGGATTTGGCTGGTTCCTGGTAGCAGTCCATCGACCCAAAGCACTTCACTGTAAGCTAGCCTGCTGCTGTTATAGCGCAGGAAATGGAAGACACAAGTAATGAAATATTAATGTGGAATCATGAGAAGGCCCAATGAAATCCATTAAAGTGAGGAAAATCAATGAAACAGTGCCCCACATGCCTCTCAGCCGGCCCGAGGAGTCGACCGGATCTGCTGTCGTTTTCTTCATCTTTATGGACCTTTGGTAAGAACACACATGAACGAGAGTTCAGCCGTTAGTGACACAGTGCCTGCAATCCATTAGTCCAGCTTAGACCTCTAAGGAATTACAATTATGCATGTCTTTTTTATTTTTGCATTTATGAACTAAATGGACGTATATGCTCACGCTCTTGTTTATCACTCTTCCAGAATCTCAGGATCCAAACATCTGAGATCCAAATCATCTCCTGTAAACCCTCAGATCCATACATGTGCACCAGTGGAGACCTAGTAAAGCTGGCAGGATATAGTGCGACCACAACATCAGCAGGGACCCGAAAAGCCTGCTGGATGAAGTCGGCTGAGCCGCTTTGCATTCTGTCAAGCGAGCAGGTGGCCATGTGGTTTTTGGCGTCGCATGATGTATCTGTGACATACCTACCGTGTCGCTTTAGGCATTGTTACACGACTGAAAAGAAAGCTGCTCACCGCTGTCTGGAGCTTATGGCCCTGTCTCGCAAATCCGACTCGGTTAAGGTAGAGACAAGAGCAGGAATCTCCCAGGAACAATCGTCGACTGTTTTATCCCGATGAGATTGCAGGTGTATTTTTAAAGCATGAAGCAGGCACAATAGAGCAGGCAGAGCTGCCCGGTACAGACGTGACTAAACATTGTTCGCTCTTATTGCAGATGGGTGAATCTTCCAAAACGTATCGAGAACATGTTGCACACTAATAATATACATACTAATGTTCAAAAGTTTGGGTCAGTCAAATTAAAAAAAGAAGCGTCTTATTTTCACCAAGGCTGCATTTATTTGATAAAAAAATACAGTAAAAACCGTAATATTGTGAAATATTATTACAATTTAAAAGGACTGATTTTTATGTGAATATATTCTAAAATATGATTTATTCCTGTAATCAAAGCTAAATTTTCAGCATCATTATTCCAGTCTTAAGTGTCACACAATCCTTGAGAATCAATATTGGACTGCATATTAGAATGAGAAATCATTCTAGTGTGCTGATTTGCTGCTCAAGAAACTATTATTATTATTATTATTTATGTTGAAAACAGTTTGACAGTTTCATACGTTTATGGAAATTCTTTTAGGATGCTTTGATGAATAGTTTTATTTTTTAATAGAAACATTTTGTAACAAATGTTACTGTAACTTTTGATGAATTTAAAGGGGTGGTTCACTTTTTTTTCTAGGCTTGATTATGTTTATGGGGTGCAGTCTAACATGTTAATGCTTAGTTTTTAAAAAAAAAACATTATTTTTCACATAATTGACCTTTATTCCACCGGCTCTGTCCCTTCTCTGAGAAACACGCTGATAATTTCCTTCTTTTATGAAGCCCCTCTCTCAGAATTAGGCGATGGGCTCTGATTGGTTAGGCAGTCTATAAAGCAGTTATTAACGGCAATTATGTAATGACGAATCAATGAAGTCAGTGCTTTCAATATATTTTGTTCACACCCTCTGTTGCACATGCAATTTGGAATAATTAAGATTTTTATTTTTTGAAAGAAGTCGCTTCTGCTCTCCCAGGCTGCATTTATTTTGTTAAAAAATAAAAAAACAGTAATAATATGAAATATTTTTTTACTGTTTTCTATGTGAATATATGTTAAAGTGTAAAGTGATGCTAAATTTTCAGCAGCATTCCTCCAGTCTTCAGTGTCACATGATCCCTCAGAAATCATTCTAATATGCTGATTTGCTGCTCAAAAACAAATGCAACAACATTGATAAGATTTGTATTTACTTATTTCTGAAGGATCATGTGAAAGCAGCCTTGGTGAGCAGAAGAGACTTCTTTCAAAAACATCAAAAAACGGAATTATTCCAAATTAGTTTGCAAAGTAATATATAGTTTTAAACATGATACCTAACACTGTTGCTAATTAATTTCAGTTTTATTGTGCAAGTAAACAACAATTTCCTGAAAGTAATTTTAACCCTAATTGATACCCATAATTAAATGCACGCAGATACCAGCACAGATGTATGTGTGTTTTTTTTAAGTGTTGTTCTCTGCTGTTTTTCCCCTCCAGATGAGCGGCTCCAGTGACGGGGGTCCAGGTGCTTCACCTCCTCCTGTTTCAGCCCCTGATTGATCCCGTTTTCTGATTGTCCTCCTGAACCATCAGGGCACGCGTGGCCCTCTGGGACGCCGAGGGAGGAAACTTCAGAGGCCTTTGAGACGAGGTGTGGAGTTTGATGCTATTGGATTGAGGATCACTATTACAGGGAGGGAGAAGATGAGCAGAGGCACAAAGAAATGTCATTCAGCCTCCAAAAGGAAGCTTTAGTCTTTCAGAAGGGTTGTGTTGATAAGCAGGACATTCAGTGGTGCCTTTCACAGTTTGTTTTGCATATAGTGAATGGGAAGGCAGTTTGTACATGATGTGTGTATGAATGGGCTGTGTGCTCAACGGACTGATGTGAATGAGCGCGAGGGACAGACTCCTCTCACGAGACGAATGTTTAATCACTTAACACTCAGATCTCTGGCATTAGACTGCCGGTGCTGAAAACCCTCATTGTCACTGATTGTAG